CTGATTCAGGAGCCATCATAACGTACAAACTCAACACTTCGAATATCGCGCATGGGAATGTGACCAGAGCTGCTTTGTAGGGGAGTGTCAATGAGACCTCATGCAGCAACCTGAAACCTGCAGCACCGCGGGCAGATCCAAGCACATCCTTAGGACTTCAACTTCGAGTGTGGAAGCTATTTGCCTCAAAGCTGGGGTCACCGTTTCCAAAGCGAAGCCACTCAAGCCCTCACAACCAATCGACTTCGGACGTGGGAGGGATATGAGAAGCTGATGCCCAGGTCTAGAGTGTAGAGGAACAAATCCAAGGAATCCTGCCTTCTTCCCCCCCTTCCCTTACGGAAACCCTTGACAGTGCATCCTTTTTGCAGAAAGAAAAGACGGGGGCCGAGCGAACCCTCACGTGCACGGCAGGCCCCTGGGCCTGGACTACTTGGAGACGACGTGGCATGCTCAGGCCTGGAAATAAAAAGGGCCCCCGAGCGCTTGAGAGTCAGTCTGGTTTTCTTGGGGCTTATTTGGAGAAAAGGGCTGCGCATCTTTATTTAGTATGTGCAGCCGATAAACTCAAAATCCCCAAGGAAAGTCTATCGGCTTCAGCTACTTCAACTACACTTCAAGTACATTTCCCTGACAAGGAGCTGCTTGCCCCTGGCGGCAGGTGCGGATTCGGGAAGAAAGGGGCAGCGGAAGCATGTCTGAGGGTCGAACCCTTCGCCCCGGTTTAGAAGTCTGTAAGTTTTCAATCCCTCAACCCTACTTAGACTTATCAGAAGTCTTAAGAGTCCCCGAGATCTTTTGAAGGATGCCGTGGACAGCTTGAATCCACAACGAACGAGCCATTAATAGACCTTGGCCGTTAGCCGCCTTACTAGTAGCCGCCTTAGCCTCCAAGCCCTTGAGCAGAGAGATTGTTGCCAGCATCCTAAACTAAAAAGCCAAAATCTTGGCTGCCGCTAGCTCCTTCATCCGGAGACCCCCAGCACACCCCTCAACAGGCCGAATCGTGAACGCAAGCCATCGCCAACCCTATACAGCTTGTTCCAGCGCACCCTTCAAAGCTCGAAAGCCCTGGCCCCCTTTCAACCCTAAAGGGAATCAAGGGAGACCTTGCAGCTCCAGGCTGATACCAGGAGCACTGGTACTCAAGGCTACTCGGCGCAACACAGCCACATGGGTGGGGGGTGGGGGGTGCGGGAGGCTTTGAAATTTGGGTGCGGCTGTGAGGTATTCACATGAGGCAGGGTAGTCAATGGCAGTCCCACAACAAGTCCCCCGACTGAAGAGTCGTCACTATCTCCATTGGACGTATGTGGCGCACTAGGCACGGACACGCAAGCGAAGCAAACCTGCCTTTCCAAACCCCCCCTGCCTTCCCAAGCCGAGAAGGGGGGGGGGGGGGGGGGGGGCGTTCAAAAACTAAACGGCCTGTTGCAGCACTTTGCAACACCTCCCCAAAACCCTTTTCAACTCTTTCAGAGACCTAAAAACACGCTAAACCAGTGCTAAACCCATCATCGCATGAGGTCGCCGCTGTCAGCGGCCTGGAGCCGCTAGGGGCCTCGCCACAGGAGGCGCAATTGGGCTCAAGGATATTTGGGGATTAAACTCTTGAAGCAATCTAGGGAATCTAGGGGGGCCCACGGATGCGGAGGGGAGTACGGGCAATTGCTTTATGCTTGTGAGCTTTTGCCCCTACTCCTGAACCCACTTCCAGTTGCGCTCGATGCCCCATGACAAGCGGCAAAAAAACAACCCAAACATATCTGATGTTACAAAAGTGGTGAAGCCAGTTTGTTGCCACGCAAAAACGTAAGCACACGCCTGCACTCATGTGTCCAACATGTGTGTGGGATCTGTGCGAGGGATACCCAAAACCCTAAAACCTAATACTGATAAATCGAAACCTGACACGGTTTTGGCTTGAGTCTTCGGGGAAAGCTGCTGGCCAAGCAGCAAACATCTTCAAGTGGCTCGTGCAGCGCAAGGCAGGGGCATCACTAAAGAAAGCTCCGCTGAGACAGTGGCCTTTCAATGCCGCTGAGACAGTGGCCTGCAAAAGCCGCTGAGACCGTGGCCTTTAAAAGCCGCTGAAACAGTGGCAATGATTCAATGGCCGCTTCACCCACAGTGGTTGGTGAAGTTGGGGCTTGTCCGGTCAGACTGATTGCAAGTGTTGTTCAGTTTGAGAGAGCCATGCAGTTGCACGGTGATGCCAGAGATGCGCAGCTTGGAGCTGAGCCTCAATAAAATCCGCAGTCCCAGAAAGGCATTCCTGGACGACCTGGAGCTCCTCTCAGATGTGCAGGTGTGTGGGATCACCGGATTGGGGCATGCTTATTTACTCACTGAAAACGTCACCGGAAAATCCCTGTCACGAGCCTTAGCTCGCAACGGTGTCTCATGCCCGAAGCGTGCGGAGATCAGCGGCATCCCGCAATATCCTTGCTGGCCCCTGAGACCATGAAGGATTCTCTCAGTTCGTGCCTGTTTGAGCAATGTTGGGGAAGCATCAGCGACTTGTTAGTTGCAGTAGAATGTCTTAAGTAAAATCTGCCGGGCTTACATCATTGATAGTTGGGCTTTGAGTGTTCGGGGCTCCGAGTCGGGAGACATGTGCTCCCGAAGCTGACGGGCTTTATGCTCGGAGGAGAAACTTTCGGAGTTCCCTTTAGCTGCTTTTCTTCTGTACTGGATGATCGGATCCATTGGCTGCCGGCTTTGGGCTTTGGGCTTTTGTGTGTGTGTGTGTGTGTGTGTGTGTGTGTGTGTGTGTGTGTGTGTGTGTGTGTGTGTGTGTGTGTGTGTGTGTGTGTGTGTGTGTGTGTGTGTGTGTGTGTGTGTGTGTGTGTGTGTGTGTGTGTGTGTGTGTGTGTGTGTGTGTGTGTGTGTGTGTGTGTGTGTGTGTGTGTGTGTGTGTGTGTGTGTGTGTGTGTGTGTGTGTGTGTGTGTGTGTGTGTGTGTGTGTGTGTGTGTGTGTGTGTGTGTGTGTGTGTGTGTGTGTGTGTGTTGTGTGTGTGTGTGTGTGTGTGTGTGTGTGTGTGTGTGTGTGTGTGTGTTGTGTGTGTGTGTGTGTGTGTGTGTGTGTGTGTGGTGTGTGTGTGTGTGTGTGTGTGTGTGTGTGTGTGTGTGTGTGTGTGTGTGTGTGTGTGTGTGTGTGTGTGTGTGTGTGTGTGTGTGTGTGTGTGTGTGTGTGTGTGTGTGTGTGTGTGTGTGTGTGTGTGTGTGTGTGTGTGTGTGTGTGTGTGTCAGAGCATGTTTTTGTTCTGGTGGTGGCCTTTTGGACAATCTGCGTGTCAATGGCATCATCTGACCTCCCTCTGCCTTGCAGTCAAACCCAATTTCGCAAAGCCCTGTACAAGCCAGGATGTGATGACGATTGAACTTAGCACCAGGCCCGATTGGTGGGAAAAGCCAGGCTGTGAGGATTCAAGGTTTCGGTGTGTGGCCAAAAGAAGACTGCTTGTTTGTTTGGCTGTCAGGCAAAGGCTACATCGGGTTGATGGAAATCGTTGTGGGGCTTCGGGTTACAATTATGCGGGTTGTGTTCTTTTGGTTGTTGCAACGGGAAGCACCAGACAAGGAGAAGGAATGGCTGCCTGTGGCATGCAACATCAAGTGATGATGTGATGGTGATGGAGTGGTTTTGGTGCCCTAAACCCTCTCGGCCTCCCCCACATCCCAAACCCGGATCCCAAACCCTTCATCCCTGTAGCTCTGCCAGGGGTGATGGGCAGCTTCCGTCGGCCAGGTCCACCATTATAGCCGCCACCCCAGCAAAGTCATTCGTGCTCGGTGCTAATGCAACGTGTTCCCAGAAACCTGTACGAACGCTTCGACACAAAGAACCAAGTCTTCAAAACCGCAATCTTCTTCAGCGGTCAACAGCTTCGAACTCCGGGCTGTTGAGCTTCGGGAATGGAAATGGTAGAAGCAGCTTAGGTTAAGGGTGGCTTGGATGTTAGGGGTGTCTTTTTTCAAGGGCACAACGGAGTGAACGGGAACGCGATCTTGGAGTGACAAGGCGTTCTGGGCCGCCTTTGTAGGAGTTGAAAAGTTGGCCCGATGAGCTGAAGATTGATTATACACCTTCGTTGTGGCCATCGCCATCAGCTCCCACAAGCGACCCATAGAAACGAGGAGCCGCTCAAAATTTCGCCAATGCCACGGCCGGGACCCATTTTCCGCACCCCTTTGGTCCTTCACAGACAGGTTCCTGGTCGCAAGATTTAGTCTTCCTCGTTCTCGTAGCCGAACAAGACTGAAGACAGTTGCGGCCGACGACATTTATGTGGTTTTTCATGGCAGCACTCAAAGGCCCATCTCAGGGCATGTCAAGGTTCGCTGTTTGCAAGGTTGCCCAGCTACCTCTTTCTTCACTCGAAGGATCAGTCGCCCTAGGGCCTGTAGAGAGTGTCTCACATCAATTCCAATATCAGAAACCAGTGGCCAGCTAAAACAAGACTTTCTCAAGGTGTCAGGAAGCGAGAACACGCATGTTGCCCCCGCAGACAGACTCCTGCAACAAATCTCAAGAACAGTGCGCTGCCTCTCGTCTTGTTAGGAATCAGACAAGCCCCAAACAGGCCCAAGCCTCAAACTAGCTTGGAATGGAAGGCCCAAGTCTCGAAGCTCTTTCTGAGCCGTAAGGGAGGGCGTCGACTGGAGCGATCAAAGTTCCTCAGGCCTCTGAGACCGGCTGCCTGGTTGGCCTTGCCTTCTGGCATGAGCCCGTGGAGCCGGAGGGCATGGAGGGCACGGAGGGCACGGAGGGCACGGAAGGCTGGGCTGGGCATGGAATGATAGGCCCCATTAGGCCCCCTAAAGTTCCAGATTTGTGAGCTCAGGGTGACTGTTAAGCAGGGCTTCAGGGCCGGAGAGCCTTACCCAAGCCCACATGAGCATCTGCTTTTTTTCGAAAGAAGGTGGCCTTTGGCTTCAGTACATCGTTGTCTGCTCAGCCGTGGATCTAGGACTGTTTTGGGACCGTTTGCAAGGCCATGTGGAAGCTTCTTCTCACGCTCGCATCGCTCGCCACCTTTGCAAGAGGGCTGCGCCGAGATGATCTGCATACACAGCTGGACCTTCCCATTGTCACGTTGCCCATGGGAACGCGCCTCTATTCCTGCCAACAACATGAGCTGGACCCACAGCGGGACCTGTGGACCATGATCAGCATCAAGTATTTTGGCTACTGTACAACAGTGGAGGCGGCTGCGAAGAAGATGGCCGAGATGGGATGGCAAGGAAATCCGGAAGACATCGGCAGGTTCGATTCCAGAGCGAGCTATGCGAAGGTATGGCAGGTGGTTCGTCCCTGCAAGATGTTGCTAGGGGACGGAAGGAACAGCAGCACCTTGACACACCGTTTTGGGCCGGGTGCTAGGTTTGAGAATGTGGAAACCCTTGACACACCCAACTGGCGATCACACGTGAAGTTTGCTGACATGAGGGAGCAGCTGCTGAAATCTGATGGCTTGGTTCAGTGCGACGCAGGCATTGATGTAGCTGTGTTCCACGGAATTTCAACAGACGATCGCCATGCCTGCATTCGGCAGGTTGAGCCGGATCGCCTTCCCACTGCCACAGAAGTGGAACAGCAGCAGCAGCTGCTTTCTGTAAAAGGCTGCGATCGTTTCACATGACTTCCCGGCCGCGTGCAAACATAGCTGACATGAGGGCATGTGCACCACAAGGGACGAGCAAAACTTAAAAGTCCGTTTGAGCTTCGTGCTCGCTAATTGCGTGCTGGTAGGCATCACGTGCCGGTGCGGTCTCGGAGAAGGGTTCTGAGTTTAAAGCGGTCACGGTTGAATCCGTTTGAAACCCTCAAGTCCATGGCACCGGCCAGGCCAAGCAGGCCAATTCGATATCCGACGCTACGTCACGGCCGCATGCTGAGCATGTCAGACTCCGAAGGACGCTTGAGTGCTCTCGAGTGTATGTGTTGGGTGTCTTTTTGGGGATACTAAAAAAGTTTTGCCTCATGCAGCTATAGCCACTCCTTCTTGTTAACACTGCAACAGGGGCTTCTCCAGAGGTTCTGAACCTACTTTTTTTTTGCGTTGGTCTAGCATCCGTCGATTCCGCGCACTCAGCACAGCTACATGGCTGCCTGCGAAAAGAGATACGAAGGAATGATAGGGCCCTAAGGGTCTCAACAAGCATGTTGTTTTGCCCGACGTACTGTAAGGACTCCTCTGAAATTTGCGCATCAAGAGGTCACCCTCGAAGACCGGCCTCGACATGTAGCAGAAGGCGACAGGCCTGGACTTGGTCTTTCATCTCCAAGTGGAGAACATACCCGAATTCCCACATGTAGACATATAGCCAGCGCACTGTCAGCGCAGCGCTCGTTGTATAAGAAACATCATCATCTCGCTGGTGCCCTTCTTTTGCTGGCCTGAACTTTTCAACTAGGGCTTCCACTTCTCCACAAGACTTGGAAGCACGTAGGAATGTAGGTTTCCGCGGAGGCCGAGCGGCTTCTCTTGCATGGGTTTCCCGCGTTGTCCTTACCTGGATCGCGCCCTGCAACGTCTTGACCAATATCATGACTATTCTGTGTTATTATTCCTTAGAAAGAGGAAGATTGCTAGATACTCAAGAAAATAATCATGTGGTGCTAAAGCAACTGATTTGCTTGTTGTTGGGCTTGTGAAGAGGATCCCGATCGTCCTCGAGTTCGAGGAGTTTGAGCTGTTGGCCCGTGTGGCCTTTGAGACAGCATTGAGTAGCGATATGGAGGAGAATCAACGTCTTGCGGCGGTTCAGAAAAGAGACTCGCTTTGAGTACAGAAGTTTGGACGTACCAGCATTCTGTGAATCGCTGCAACATGTCATATGCAAGGCTCAGCAGGAACCATAGGACACCAACAAGACCACAACTGCGGAACCTTTGCTTGCGAAAGAGTTCTCTCCTGAGAATCTTGTTGGCGGCTGGTTCTGTGCTTGGGCGTTGGAATCGCTAAGGTGCCTTTGAGATGGACTGCCGAGTCCCCGAACAGTTAACAGCACCCACCCATCAATGGCACCAACCCGGAAGTTGGCACATTAGCTGGTTCCGGGATGTTCCGGGAGCAGAATTGCCATTGCATCCGGACCTGTGAGAACAACAAAAGTCTGCTCCACACGCCACCAACCCCCCCCCCCCCTTGAAACCAATTCAGAGCCGGAATCGCTAAACCAACAAAAGTTACCGAACTCAACGACGAAAGCTACAGCTATGAGCTAGGAGTTCAGCTGTATCGACTTTGAGGGTCTGTTGCAGCTTGCTTGGCCGCAGCACCCAGCTGACACCCAACCCAACAACTCAACAACTCTTGTAAGTCAGCGCTTCAACCACCTCAAGCCGCAGGAGCTCGCAATTCCCATATGAAGCCCTGCCTGACCTGCTTGAAATGCATTGAACAAATCCTTCCTGTCCTTGTGTCATGTGCCATCTCCCATCCTTTCCGAGGGGGAACGTCGGGGCAGTTGTTTACGGAGCAACAGGTGGAGAGTAGTGACTGAGTAGTGGCTGTGGCACTTTAGCCTGCATTTTTTTTCGAGGTTCGATTGGGAAGCCCTCTGCTGTGCACGATGAGACACAGAACAGGAGAAGCGGCAGCGTGCACACAGCTCCATCGAGACACGTATCCTACGGAGACGCTACAACTCAAATTGTGCAGACTCAGCCCAACAACGGCCGGGATATGCTCTACGGCTCTTTCTTGACTAGTCTGCGTGGAACACATTTCAAGAGTGAGCCATCTGAACTTTATTGACATTATGCTGGAGGCCTGCATCACAGGCCTGTGTGTACTGTCAGCGTAGATTCTAGAAGGGAAACTTAATTTTAAAAAGTTCCAAAGAAAATTCCTACGTTCTTCACCACATGCGGTCGCCGCATTCTTCGCCGCAAGCTTCGCCGCGAACTTCGCCCGCGGGGAACTCCGTCGCAGAGCTTCGCCCAAGAAGCTCATCAATGCGCTATCGCTGCAAAGTTTCCATTCTCCTCAAAGAATGCTTGCTGACATGCTCATGAGTTTTAACGCGACGCGACCTCGGCCTGGACCAATGGGGGGGTTGGGGGTAGGGGGGAGGGGGTGGTAGGGGCGGGGGGGGTGGGGGGGCTGCGGGGCTGGGGGGGTGGGCGGGGGTTGGGGTGGGGAGGGCGGGGGGTGTTGGGGGGGGGGGGGGGGTGTTGGGCAGTCATCTCAAGCAACTGTCATTGGCCATGGCATCACTCAAGACTGCACATGCTACAATTGTCAAAGCCAATTTCACGCCAACTTCATTTTGCAACAGTTTGGCCAGAATGAGTTGCTGATGCGCTTGACTGCACCCAGACGCGTGCCTGGTGCCTCCGCTGGGAACAATGGGAGGGCCGCCATCGCAGAGCCTATTCTCCCCGCATGTGTAGAATGCCTGCTGCGTTCTACGTCCTACTTGCATCAATTTTAGTAGGCAAACCGCTTGCTGCCAAGACCTTCGTTACTCATGTAAAGTTTTTCAAGCAGGAGATGTTCGGCATGAATTCTTCATGCACAGCTTTTCAGGAAGAAGTTGTGCGACATGAATGGGCTTGAAAGTTGCGCCTCCCGGAGAACAAAATCTAGCCCGTCCCCGCTTTCTCCTTCAAAGTTCTCGCCTCATCCGGTACAGAGCTTGATCCTAAGTTCCAGATTATCCCTGGCCTTGCTTGTAAGACCTTTCACGCCCATGTGGCCCGACACCCGCGTGTCCCATTGCGACATGCATCTTGCTCAATAGTTCAATGAGTTCAATACGACAACTGTTTAAGCAACGAGACCGGAATTGCGCACTCAAAAGTCTTGGGGGTTAAGAGTTTAGAGTCTATAGAGGCTTAACTGAAGCTAGCTTTGGAGGTTTGGGCTCTTCTCGGACTCGGCAATCGACTGCTTCAAGCATGTAGCGACTAAATGGCGGTTTGTGGCCGCTGCCGACGCCGACACTGATGCCGCTGCTCTTCTTTGCCGTGGCCTCCACTTCCACGGAGCACCCGTCGCAAGAGCCTTGCACCTGAGTTGCAGACCAGGTGCTGCAAATACTAGGTTCGCCACCCATCCTCCTCTCGCTCAACGAAAGTACCCATCACCCTGTGGGGTTCTGCGGAATATTGAGCGCGATGAAGATTGTAAAACTGACACCGTCCCGCTGAAGCCTCCTACAATAGGAGGGTCGAGGCGATGTCTGTCCACCCATTGCAATCCAGACTTCCAGATCCCCAGCTTTGGAACCTTCAGACCCACTTGTCATCTTGGCACCTGACACTCGGGGAGTTGAGCTCTTAGGAAAGCAGAGCATGCAAAAAAGCCTGATCCGATTCGACACCCCAACTATACATTCACTTATTACTATATGTATATATATATATATACATATATACATATCTATATATGTATATGTATGGCCCCGTAGACCCGAAATCACAAGCTATACCGATCTCAGAAACCCTGGATTCCCAGACCTCGAGCCCTGAAGCAACGGGAAGGTGCCAGTCTTGCACTGCATCCCGGGTCTGGCGGCTGGGTATCGGCACGATGCTGCAGCTACCCGCAGGAGGGGGTTTTGAGTGTATGAGAAGCCCGCCAAGGTTTCGTGACTTCAGGGGATGGGCTCCTGGTCTAAGGGGCAGCCTATGAATAAGCCATAAGCTTGTCCATTCAGGGGTAGGGATTCATACTTACACCTAAACTGCCATCTCTTTTCAGCATAATACGTGCTTTCAATAATACAGAGCAACCATGAAATGAATCACCTACAACAGACAACAAAACCTGGACCTCATAGCCCAAGATGCAAGCTCAACGTCGGCAGACCTGGAGCTCACAAGAGCGATAGCCAACTCAGCGCTTATAGAGTCCGGGTTACTTCTGTGACGTCTGTGTGTTCCGGCAAGCTCCGATGTCCAGATCAGGGTGTCTCAGTACGCCTTATGAACATCCTTTTCTGTGAACTCGGGCTGCTTCGCCAAGGTCAAAGACACCTTTAGTCTTGAAAGTGCGAACAAAGAAAGTAATCGGTCACTGCATCTTACTGGTGCGGATTCATCTCCTCCAGAATGCAGAACAGCTAGACATGTGCAGGAGATTCTGCTGCAGCTGTCCCGAGGTGCTGAGATCCACGAGGTTGAGGCTTTGAGAGGGTGGTGCAGATTTAAGCTGCGATGCTTGTCGGAGGTTGGATGGCATGCTTCAACAAAGGTTGTAATTATCTGGGTTGAATGAGTACAGATTGTGGCTCGAATGCAGGATCCTCCGAATCCGGTACCCCCTGCCCACATGTTGTGGAAGTGACATCCTAGCATGCAGGCGTTTTCAAAGCCATGGCTTCAGTTGGCGTTGAACAAAGGTTGCTGTGGACGCGAGCAGGCAGTAAGCCGTCGACCGTAAATGTCCAGCCCCAACTTGGGGCCATTCACAACTAATTAACCCAATCGCACCTCCGAACCGGAACTGAAGACCTGAGGCTCAGAAACCTCGAAGGACATGTGACATCATATGATCCAACCGCATCATTGGGGTTGGGTCCACAGAGTGGAGTGAGAGCAGGTTGCCGCCCCTCCCTCACTGTCACCACGAGCTGTGGACGTGTTCCTCAGCACCGGCAACCGCGAGGCCGGCGAAGGATTTTTACGCGGTTGCTGCATGTTTATGCGTTTTCGATTCGAGCTGCTCGAGTTGTACACTTTGAGAAAGGTTCTTGAATCCGTCACTGCTCCACTCGTTCTAGTAACAGGCGAACCCTGACTCCTACGCATGGATCATGAGACGGATGGCTTTGTGAGGAAAGGGGGGCAAGGGGCTGCACATCAAGCCCACCCCTGCTATAGGGTACCAAACGAAAACGTTTGGGGATGCAACCCTTCCGGCCTTCATATGGACATATATGGACCACTAGATCTTGTGGCCGGTAAAAACTCGGAGTCACTGAAGCCCAAGGCAAGACCCGGAACCCCAAAGCCCTGAGGCCCGAACCCTGAGATGACGAATCCCTGGACTCGGAAACTCTTACCCATAGCCCAACCCAGCAGTAAAGTGATCCGAGTAGGAAAACCCTTCTGCGGATCGTGCGTAAGTCTCCCTGTGGTTACCGTGGAACCGCCGATCCAGAGAGTTTTGGGGCTCCCTTGTCGAAAGCTAAATATACGGTTTCTGTTGTTTAATTGGGGTGTCGGTTGTTGAGGTTGTTTCTTGGCTACAGACCTGTGTCACCTCTCTGACCCTCAGTTCTCTCAACTCTACACAGTCTACACGGAGTCTACACGTTAACGAGACAAGGGGCGCCCCTAAACCGAAATAACCCGCAAGCAGCCCGACATTCACCTGTCAGTTACCCGTAAGTAACATTAAGTAGCCGCCTGGCCCTCCCAACTCTCTGAAGCCCTTTGGTGTCAGAGGACCGGTTGGCCGGCAATCCCCATTTTCAGCACATTTGCTCCTTGGAACTGCCAGGCGCGACAGGGGCTGCATATGCGCATGCGTCTGAACCGAGTGACCAGGTAGCAAAAGTCGTCGCCGTCGAATGTAGCGATCGCACTAGTAGTCGTGGTAAGTGATACTGGTAGTTGCAGTAACACTAGTACGACAAGCAGCTGTAGGGGTAGTAGGGCTAGTAGTACAGGAGTTAGTAGCAATAGGAGCTGAAACACTCCCTTAAGCTCACCGTGAGAAGTGGAAGCTGCCTGCAGGGCCCAAAGTTATTTTCCACAAGGCGCTCCTTCCAAGACGTCACGACACTTGCACAAGGCGCAGCCTGAGCAACCTGTCCAGGGAAAATCTCAGTAGCCATATCAGGCGATGTTTAGTTCAAGGTTGGCTTGACAAAGTAAGGGGAGGGACGGAAGGGAGACATTTGTTGGGAAAGGTTTCGGATTGGAAGTTTTCGATGGCATCAGCTTTGGTCCCTGACAAAGTGAGATGGTCAACATGTTTGCAACGGGCAGAGACCTGCCGCCCAGCCCCGCTGGCGCTTCTGAAACCGCTGTTCATCTCGAGCTTCGCAGATCTTCACAGCATGTCGCAGCATTTGCCTGCATGCCGCAGCACATGACTCACGTGCCTTGCCGCCCTACCGATGCTAAGGCGTGAAGGTTGAGGTTAGCCGGTTAGCCAATATCTTGTCAGAATTCTTCAGATTTGAACTCTAGGCGGGTTGAAGGATGTTGAAGGTGCCACAGCTGTAGGGGCTGCATGGGTAATGTTGTCTTCCAAGTTTCAGGTTGTATTGTAGTGGCAAAGTCGCACGCGGGGGTACTTGTAAAGGGTGTACAGATATGTGGAATGCTTGAAACCCTCACGGGGCTGCAGGCCAGGCACAAGTTCTTCGGCCTTTGCACTGGGCAGGCGTGGGCTCCAAGTCGCATCAAGTCGCCAGGCCAATTAGGGCCAGGCTGTGTATGGTTTACGCGTGTTTATATTATGCTTGGGCAGAGCTGTCTTCCTACACGGCCTGCTCCTGGCTTCCAGTACCTTCCGGAGACTAGACTCGAAGTAGGTGCCGTTTGATCCTTCTGCAACTTCAACAGGGAGATTCAGCTCCAAGAGCGATCTCAGCACAGACTGCACGACATTCTTGCGTGTGTTCAACATCATCAACACTGATCTGGCGCTACGCGCAGCCTCACACACACACCGCAAACTGATCAAACTGTTTGCTCCAAAGCTCCCACATTTCTCCCAAACACCCCCACACAATCAAGATACATACCAACACAGTATGTCACAATAGATTCAATAGAGCCATACAACGTGAAAGATAGCTGCTCTTGAATGAAAGAGTAGTGAAAGAACGAGAACGAGGTGAGATTGCTGATACATGAGCCTGCCGCAGCTGGGCCTGACAACCCATACAAGCAGGCACCGGGAAGTTACTCAGGGGGACAGGGATTTGCACAGAGAGGCAGTTTCGCTGGGCCATCACCCTGAGGATAGGACCGTAATATGTTCAGAGATGTTCAGAGCCGAGTGTTGGAGTTGTGACACGACGCAGGACCCGACAGTTGCGAACCCTGTGTCAACTCTGGAAACACAGGAACGAGAAGAACAAGCACTACAGAACCCCCCTCTCTCTGCAAAAATGCCACCTGTCGGATCCTGTAACCCTGTAGGTAGCCGAAGACGAGAGCAAGTAAGTTCCGCTGACACTGGAACCATACCAATCACCATAAACGGTGGTTGAAGTTCCGTTCTTTTCTGCACAGTTGGGTCTGAATTTTGCAGCAGGCGCGTTTAGGTTTGAATTGCGAAGTGCGTCTACATCTAGGCTGCTACGTCCAGCTATAGATCAGCACGTTTGCGATCAGGTGTCTCTCACGACAGTGGATCTTTGGGGCTACGAGGACATGATTTTCAGATGCACAGGTCCCGATCCTCAAAACGGCTTCCCCAATGATCAGCGTGGCCTCAAACAACCCACAGCTCGGTGTTTGCGAGTAGAGACATATGCACGACGACGATCCTCCCTAATCACATGATTGTTGTTGGCACGGCGTGAACTTTCCTAAGCAAACTTTCCTAAGCAACTTTCTTGGCTTCTCACAGTGGCACAAGATACTTTGCCAAGAGCTCCATCCTTACTCAAGGTGGCCATCCGTGCTCTTTGTTTTCGAGTCAAAGTATGACGCACATCAGGGCAAGTGTCTTCAAGGAAGCTTCCAAACCCCCAAACTCCTTGTCTCCACTGCCACCTCAAAGAAGCTTAAATCCCCCAATTTCTCTTCCTAAGAAGCCCGTCTCAAACTCGACCCTTGCAAAGTCTCGCACTTCCCCCCGGTCATTGCGATCACCAAGGATCTGCGAAGGTAGCACATCGCTTGCTGCAGGTCAAGACATCCATGAGAGGGCAAGGCAGCCTAAAGGAAGCTTGTCTTTGAAATGCGGTCAACGCGCAGGCACTCGGGCAAGCGACTGATCAGAAGGAGATCTCGATGTTTCGTCCGTTGGTGAAGACATGGCGCATGCGCTGCTACCCAAAGCTTTACCGACACCACAACTCACGGGTGCCGGCCGTGATATGGTGCTGCATCCCAAAGCCGGTGTGGTTTCTTGAAGCACCCAAGAGCCTTCAGAACAAATCGTCCAAGGGTCGTTTTGGCTGCCACTCTGACTGAACAGCTGCATCCGGTCCTGGGTAGGAAGTCCAGATCGCATTGGGTTGTTGCACAAGAAGCGAGTTGCATGAAGATAAGGACACTGGTCTTGGCTTTGGTGCACAGGCCGCGAAGCAGATGTCAACGACCCTGTGCAATCTCCGGTTCACTGGTGCTTGCTTCCACTAACGATTCGAATGTCGTGAGAGGGTGCACGAAGTGGCAGTCAAAACGGAGCATGAAGTTGGCAGATGACGACTACAGAGCCGTTTGACAGAAGCTTACTCCCTGATTGACGAACTCAAAGGCCAAGCAGCTCCTCCCAATGCCAATGACAGGTGCACACGAGAAGCTGGCTTAAAAAATGAAGCAGGCTTGTCCTGTGCACCTGTCATTGGCATGGGGAGCTGCTTGGCCTTTGAGCGCCTTCAAATGCGAGCACTCACGAAGTTCTTCCACGAGTCCACCAGCTCGAAAAGCGCAAGGAGTCCGAGCGGAGCATCAAGACCTCTGTGTCTGGGCCAGAAAAACCTTTTGACGCAGCGGCTCTCCAAAAGGACGAGGTTCCTATGAAGCGCGGGTGTGTTACACCAAGGCAAAAGGAAGCGTCCCTGCACTTTCAGCTGCGGATCGCAAATACCTAAACGAACTCATGTCAGGCGTACTCTTCAGTTTGCACTTTGCTAAAACCTTCGGCCCCATGGCCTAGAGTTGAACTTGTGTAGTGTTATTTTGTGCTGTCCATGCCCGGCACGTTAGGCCCTGAGGCCTTTACGTACAATCCGTCTTCTGCGTAAGGACACCAATGGAACTACTCAAAACCCTGCACCCCGCAACATCCCAACATCCCAACATCCCGTACTTCGCAGCAGGATGTCCTTCCGGAAGTTTCTGGACCTTGCGCCATGGATCCTGGGCTTGAGGAGTGGTTTGACGTGAGGAATCCTTCCCGGCTGTTTGGTTTTCACTGCACTTGGCGATGTTTGCGGTAAGGTGCGCGCTTATGGTTATTGAGCAACCAAGGAAGTCAGATAGAGGTTCGATGTTTGCGCTTGTGGAAACTTCATTCAAGTCGATGAGAGCAGCTACTGAAGGTCGAAAAGTCTCGCTTCGAGAGTTTGGGGCAGGTGGTTTTTCTTATCTTTCACTACCCCAGGAGCCGAAAGCTCTCAAAATTGAGAGCACATCTGCAAGACTCTGCACGACCGGGCCAGGCCTCAAGAGAGCAGAGTATTTCAACGGAGTGTGAAAGGGATGGGAAGAGAGGCGTGAAAAGAGGGGTCGCAGAGGGTGAAGAGAGAGCGATAGAAGGGCCCGTTGCAGGGCGCGCTCTGAAACCAACCATTTGGCCCATCCATTCTTGGATGCAGTCCCGATGCCAGTGTCCAGAGCCGCTTCAGAAATGGGGCGAATTGCGTGTGCTGTTCGGGCCCGTTGCCTTGCGACGGAATGTGGTGCGTGACGGAAAATTCGAGGCCGAGCGACTCGAGACACCAAGACTTCAGAACCCTAGTTGGCCAACACAACGTCAAGATCTCAAATCGCAGTAGTTTGTGGCAGTCATGAGTCACATGAGTCACACAACATGATTTGTCATGAACACGAAAGGTACCGTACAGGCCCTCGCCCACCACAAAGCACCGCCCCCTTAGGACCTCGGGGAGCATCACGATGATATTGCTTCGGTGCTACTGGAACTGGGCGTTCCTCTGAACCTTGTCCCAGCAGCCCGACGAGATTAGGTTTCAAGCTAGGAGGTTTGGGGTCAAAAACGAAGGGCACATCAGCTTCGTGCTATTGACCCTGAGCCGAAGCGCCCTCGGAGACTTCGGTACCCCATGCACCTTGATTTTTCATAGAATGCACCGCACTAGCCCCAGAGCAGGCTCAGGGTTCTGTTGAAGCTTCGCGAGGTTTTGGCTTCTTTTCGTCTTTTTGGCGTGTAGGTCAGCTGTCCCGAACCCAAACACTTTGGGACCTTTAGACTTTAGACTCAGAACTTGGGCTTAGTCAGTCCGCCGTGGGGGCTTTTGGCAGGATCCTGCACCCCACAACAGTCGCCATCCCAAGCTGCAAAGCAGATATCCCAGCTGGCTGCCCCCAATCTCAAGGTGTCGGAAGGTTTCCAGCCCACGGGCCACACCGACGTACAGACGCGCCTCGGCCGAGGGGCTCGAAAAAGCTTCATTAAAGCCTCAGGATACGCATTGGATTCAAACTTTCGGCTAAGGCCCTACATCCTAACCCAAGCCTGAAAATACTGGAGCTCCACTGGGATTTTTTAGTTTGAGTTGAGTTGTAGACGCTTGTAGAGTCGAGTTGTAGTTTGTGCCTGGCTCAAGATACGTAGACGAGTTGGAAGCGTGAGCCAACAGTTGAAACCAATGTTCATGAGTAGCGATTAGAGGTGCAGAGTATTGTAGAGTAAGTGTCCGGGGCTCTAGGACTACTCGGGTTCTAGGTTAGGCTCCTAAGCTTGAAGTTTGTGGTTCAGTGCTTCGGGGTTGGCTTAGGAATTTCAATTAGGTTCAGCTCCTCGTGCCCTTAGAAGTTGCGACAAATCCTCAGGTTTGCGGATGACAGTACAGGCCAGTTGCAGTAGCGCAAGCTTCATCATGAAGCCATGGGGTCTGTCATGTCTAGGATGGTAGGATGTGAAGGCAAAGGAAGGAAAATGTAGGACAATGGTCTTAACTTCTCTGAACGATTCAAGGTGTGCTCTTATTCGCGAGCTACGGGCAAAAGAGGACCAGATGATCCGGGCGAGACTGGGGCTCGACATGTGTCCTCAAAAGTTGACAGCTGCACTGTATCGATTCACTTCTTCACAAGACCACTACACTGACTACACCCCCGCAAAGCCATGGACCTGAACTGGTTCGCGACACCTGGATCCGCCATTATTCTTACGTGTTCAATCCTTTGATACTCCTTGGAGCCTTCCACATTCCTCTGCCGTGGCAGAGGCGTAGTATTTCGGTTGTAGGATTCGGGTACAGAGTTTATAGAGTCTATTTAGTGCAGCAACAACAACGCTTAGGGTTTAGGGTTTTTAGGGTTCAGGGTTTAGGGTTTAAGGCTTTACTACGGAGGAGTTAAAGTCTTCAGTCCTGAAAATGCTTAAAGCCTCAGCCAAAGCTGAGCAAAGCCAGCCCAAATCTCTACAACCAAATCGGCACCCTGAATGTGCCATACTCGGATGACCAGAACTCTTGCAGGAGACAATCCGACCCATTTGGTACATCAAGACACAGTACTGTAGAGTCCCGGCAATGGCTTTAGGGTTGAGCCTCCACAACGCATACCTGCAGTTTTTTTCTTGCAAACCAGAGCGCACTTCAACCAAACTTTAGTAGTGTGGGGCGAGAGGGCTTGGGATCCTGTCTGCCATGTTTTTCGTGGGGTTCCAGAGCTTCTCCTTGCGATGCCTAGCATGAGTGACATCAAGGATGTGCAGCTTGTCATGCTTATGCCTTGACACGTTATGCCCACTTCCACGCTCAGGAACAAGTTCGGGGATGCGCAGAAAGTTGCGCAACACATGGAGCAGCTTCATGCAGCTGGGGATGAACTGCAGCTTTTCTCTTTTGTCCATGTTTGAGGTGGCCTGCAGGTTGTACCCGAAAAGCGGTCACTGGCCCACTTTACAAACAAAGCTTTTGTTCTTTGTGTTCCCCAAAGGTCAACACACTGGGGTTAAGGGAAGGCTCACATGGCCTGGCGCGAAGCACGAGGTGCGCCAGGCCTGTGTGCCTTTCGCCCAGGCGGCACGCTCGATTCGTGTCAAAATCTGGTTGAGACGCGCGAACTTATTCGGGGGTCGTATGGGCCATGGTGCTCCTCACTTTCCTGCTTCCAGGGCTCTTGGACGGCTTCGCTTCATGTGTCCGTTCTAGGGGGATGTTCATGTCAATCTTCGTGGTGTTCGATCTCGCACTCCCGATTCGGTCCAGTGTTTGTTTCTGAGCTCCAGTTTCAGAAGCCGGGGCATCGGGACTTGAGGGACCCACTCAGAAGATGTGCCGACATGCCAGACTTGAAGCTTTGAAGCTGGTTCGGCGTTTTACCTTTTGGGCACCAGTATCTTAAGGACCTGTGGTTTCCTATCATAACGTTGAAAGTTCAAGCTGGGCTTCAGGCTCGCTGGTGGAGCTGGGACCCGAAGCTGTTTGCGGGGTGCACGTTCGCAACTTCTCGTGATGTCGGAGCCTCCAGACCAAGTTTTGTTTGATCCCTGAAGCTCAAAGCCCTCCCAGCACGCTAAACCCCAATTGAAGTCCTGTGGCTCCTTTCGTTGGCATCACTCTTCAAACATAGACATAGACCTCTGCGCTAGTAAGGCTCACATCTTGGAACCTTCAAGCTCACGATACATTTGCTATAAGTGCTCCCAAAGCGGTCAATTGAAGACCCAGGCCCTGGGGCAAGAGCTCCAAGGCCTCCTAGAGCAGCGAGAGATGCTGTCGGCTGCCCGCGACGTGCGGAGTCTGGAGACCTTGATATGACCTTGGTTGGCACAGTTGATTGACAACCGGCACAATCCCTTTAACGTTTTCTGGTCTCAGGAAGGTTCGGAAACAAGCTTTCTTGCTTAGGGTTCGTAGTACTCTTGAATGTCATGAAGGTATGCAATCTCAACAACCTTGGATCCCAAGCTCACTGCTGAGAAGCGGCTCCACCTATCGCTGGTTTTGGAGGTTGCTGATGTAATTTGTCGGGGGTGGGGGGTTGTCCTTGCTTTCCGTCCGAGCGAGCTTGAAAGGAAGCCCAATGAGCCAAAGCCAAGCCTGCCCAGCAGCAACATCAGGTTTCGTTCCTCTGAGGTTCGCATTGTGATGGGCCCTGTGTGTTCTGGTAGGAGCTACCCTTCATAATCCGAAGACTGGCTAAAGCAGGAGATGGTCATAGGTCCTTGCATGGTTACGTGAAAGGTAGGTACTGCAGGGTCAGAACTTTGCACCCTTTCTGTCGGACCTCGGGGCCTCCATTGAGACTTTGACTAGCAGCATCCTGCCAGCACAGGGGCGTGGGGGGGGGGGTTGGGGTATTAGAAATTGGCAACGATAAGACCCGCATGGCCCGCTCTTCATACAAGCTCTTGCAAGCTCCCCCGCATGAGCTCTGGCCGATCCCTGCTCTGAATGGTGCTCAAGCACTGCTCAAGCTCATGGCTTCTGGCTGAACCCCCCCCAACAGTTGCACACGTACGGGAAGGGTTTAAGGCCTTTATTAGGTTTCGGGGTCGGCCTGGGAGAGGAGCTGCTCTCTTGAGGTTCAAAGCACCTTGTAAGTTTTTATAGTGGGGAATGTTCATCGGTGCTCTGGAGCGTAGCTCTCCAGCGCTTGCTTGGGTAGCATTGTTTGGGCCGGCTCCCCAACAGCAGGAGCAGCTCGCACCACAAATCACGGCCCTGGAGACAAAGCGGCTCCACCTGGCAGCGCTCTACGAGCCGCTGGGCTCTATTTTCCATGTCGGAGACCCTTAAGAGTCCCAAGAGTCCCCTGTTGGTGATGGTGACCGATGGTGTGATGGCGGCGTGATGAACCCACTGAGTTTGGAGTACCCTCCTGTGAGGACAGACTGGTGGCTGACGGCCATGTCGGCGCGGTTTGGTCGGGTCTGAACCTTACTCAGGCGTTTGGGATTTCCAGGGTTCTGGCATCATGCAAGATTGGGGTCCCGAAGAGTTCAGCGGGGCGGTTTGTGGCGCTTTCTGTGCACTTGCAGGTAGGAGATGCAGATGGCATCGCCATTTCACCAGAACAGTGCGGGCGGGTCCTGGGCCCGTATCCTTTCCCCGAACGCCCTCCCCCGCAGCAGCCAGACGCGGACTTTGGTTCGGGAAAGGGTCAAAACCAAAGCGCTTTGGACTGTAAAGTTCGAAGCCCTACTCACTACTCCTTGCTTGCTCGCCTGAAAGACTCATATCGTAGTAAGCCCACAGCCCGATCCTTAACCTCTGAGCCTATTGGAGACAATCCACTGTCCGAAGAGGTCAAAGAGGGGGGGCTTGCCCTCCCAGAGTGGAGCGCGATGGAGCACAGCCTGGAGTTCCGTGGCTGAAGTCTCTAAGTAATGTGGTTTCGGATGGTTTCGGGGAAGCTTTCTTGGACGACCGGGGCTCGCGCGTGGGTGCGCTACTGGCCTAAGAGGCGCCGTCTCCAAAAACAAACCCCAGTTGCGATCACTTTGCCAATTTGCAAATCCGTCAAGCCCATAACGGCCGGTGGGTAGCTCCCCTCAGTGTTTTACGGCTTCTTAAGGTTTGTTAAGCGTTGTCTGAGGTGAAGGTTCGCTCATGACCGCTGACCTCTGCGGATCCTGTTTACTGTTTATGGCATACGTAGGTGAAGATCGGATCTACTGCTGCCGCAGCAAAAGCACACCAAGTAAATCTTGAGCTAATAATCTGGCAAGACTGTTCACTCGAATTAACAACAAGAGGACTGCATGGCTCCAGAACTCTCTGCGTGGCCGGGTTGTAAACGCCAAGTTAATCGGCCACAGGACGACACGGGAAGCTGCAGGTATCAGGTTCCCAGGGGGCCGAATCAGGCCACAGAATCAGCTCCGCGAATCAGATCGGATGTAGAAACGAATCAGATCCGCCTGCCCGGACCCGGATCGGATACCCCATTCTACGAAACTGATCGCCTCGGGCCGCAATCGGCTCAAGACTCAAGACATGGGGGCAGGGGGGTCCCAGGAAGCTCCTCCAAGCGATCTGGGGGGGTCCCGCGGCAAGCTCGTCCTATACACGGGGCAGGCCATGGTTGATTGGCTTGGAATGCCTGTCATAAAGATGCAGTAAGTAAGATAAAAAGGTGGTAATTTAGAAATAAGCGACCACTTCTTAGATTTGCCAGAATGTCTTGAAACAAAAACATCGAGCAATAACAACATATTCCAAGCTCTGAGGCATGCGAATTAAGGAAGCTTGCAAAAGTAGTTCTGTCCAACGGCATCTCCTTGCAGAAACGACGCAGCCAGAAGGCCGTCTGACGGCAAGCTCCTTCTATACACAGCACACGCAACTATCGGCTTGGCATGCCCTCCGCCCTCAGGTACGACCCCAAATCGGATGACAGTAGTCGTGAACGAAAGCAAGCAGCAGGATGTGACAAACTTGAAGAGGAAAAACCAATCCAGACTTTCAATACTGCATGGCAAAATATTACAGGCTCGGAGGCATGCGAAGTAAGGAAGCCTGCAAAAGTAGGACAGGTGTCAGACGGCAAGCTCCTTGCTTACTGGACGCAGTTTATCAACGTCCATGAAATGGCGAAGAAAGAAAAGCCTGGCAAATGACACACGCACGCCGCATCAAACCCGATCCCCTCGCATTGGAGGTGCTGGAAGAAAACAGGGTGAAGCCGTCCCTGCGAGATCGGATCGCCTTTAAATCTAACCGGGACATGCTCCGATACAGTCGACCTGTGATCCACATGTCTCCGGCTTGGGTGCCGATACGTTGATCCGACTCGTGCTGTGCTGATCCAGTTCGTTGTTTCTGTGATCCAGTTACCCCGTCCTGACCCCCACAAGTGCCTGATCCACTTTCTGGGAGCTGATACGTCTTCCTACCGGACGACACGATACTCCAAGGTTGTTTTCCACAATTGCGGTTTATGAATGAAGGCCCGCATGTATGTTCCAAGCTGTTTCAAAGGAACTCAGTTAAGAAGACCCTTAGACCCCCCATTTCGTGCTTGGGGGTTTTGAATTCATGCCAGTGTTCCAGAGCATTCGCTTGGGGGACACCGCTCAAGTTTGATTATCTCAGAACAACTGGCAGTCTGAAACACTCTTGAAGCCACCCCCCCCACCCCCCCACAGCCTAGACGATCCTTGACGCGTAGATATCAGTTGTGTTCTGTCCCATGTTAGTCAGTTTGAGTTCCTTTGAGGCTCTCCATCTCTGCGACCTCCAGCCCAGCGGTAGGCAGCGAGGGGCGCTGCTGGGACCGGCAGGTTATGAGTTTAGAGTTCGGGGTTTTGGGGTTTGAAAGTGAAGATGCCTTATGTCAAGACTAGGGTGGAGGGTGCAGGGTTCAAGGGGCCCAGTGTGGGCAGATACTGTCCTTTTATGTCTGAGGAGTTGGATGCCCCCGTTTGTTTCCCCTTTGTTCTTCTGGGACCGAGGAGTTTAAAGGGGGTTGCTTTACAATGCTTTGTACAGGAGCCCCCTGTGCGACTGTACTGTCGAACGCCGAGCCTCAGTAGATTTCAAGTCCTTCCAGCCGAGCCCCCAGGATTCCGGCAGAGCGGCTCCCTACCAGCGCAGGGTGATTCCAGCAAGGTGGGGCTGAGGGCTTGTGGGGGGTTCTCACTGTGACACCGTTTTTGGGCCAAACCCCAGAGAGACCATCACCCAAAACCAGAAGTTTTTCGGCTTTGTAGGCGCTGCCTCGGTGTGTGCAGAGGCCCTCGGCGGCGAGGCCCTTCTCACAGCGGACGGCTGAGCGAGCTCGCGACCACGCCTTGCAGTTTCCCTAACACTTACAGCAGGTGTGAGCCCTAGTCAACAGGTGCTCAGACGTAAGCCTTCCAGGACACCGGAGCAGACGTCCTTACGGAGCTGTTTTCTTCTCATCGATTGCTTAAGGCCAGCGCGCGAGTTCAGGGGTTTCGCCCATTGGGCAACTTGACAGCTCAACATGTCACTCCCATCCGGACGCGATCTCTCAGCCTCGGGGCAAAACCATAAGCTCAAGCTGGCACTCCTACTTATACCTGTACTTTTCTGAATTTTACTCCTTCACTTCGATCAGCACTTCCCCTACAGTGGATTAATACAGCTGCTTTATCCCGACTAGTCCCTTCCCAAGTGCGGTGCCAAGAAGCGAACCCGTGCCATAGGGTTTGGGGCTACTTGACCAGATGTGCCGCAACCTCAAGCCTTCAACCTCAGCACCTCACCGCTGCCCAACTGCAAGCGATCCTGCAGCAGAGATGGGGTTGCCTAGTGGCGCTAATAATCAGGGGAGGAGCGCGCAAGGTGAGCTCCTTCCAAGTTTGTGGCTCCGTGCTCTTAGCCTAAAACAGGATCCACTGCGGCTCAATACGGGCCGTTTCTGCACGGAGTACAGAAGTCCGGCATGCGCCAGATACTCGCAGCAAGCTTCAGCGGCTTTAGGTTCTCGATGCCAACTGTGATGAGAAGCCAGAGCTTAGAGCTGCCTTGAAGCGTGCATGCCACACAAAGCTTGGGAAGTTCAGCGGGGTGATGCCGGGAAACGCGAGAAGACTCCGACTTACGGCTTTGTGATTTTGTCACGAGCCGAGCTCCCAAGTTGCTTCCTTTTTCTCACTCACCCCGAGATTCCGGTCTAACGATCCACTTTTCTGACCGCAGCTGACCACTTGGCAATGTAGAATCAGCCGACATGCTCAGGACCTCGGTTTAGCTTCCATCTCCCACCAATCCTAGCAGCATCTCCTCTGCCCTGGGAGCTTCTTAAGTGCTCTCAGGTTCTCCTTGAGAACTTCCGCGGTCTTTCAAGGCATCCCCTTGGGGCCATTTTAAGCTGCACGAGGGGGGAGGTCTCAAAAAGTCTAAGAGCGAAAACAATCAGCTATGCCGGCAATGTGGGCAGGGCGCAACAACATGGAGCAACAGAGTCCGCACAGCATGGGTTTCAGGTGATGCTTACCCTGGTCAGGACACAGACTGCGCCCCAAGCCAATCTTCACTACAAAGCATACGGGATCATAAGGGGAAGCGCCTTGCAGCCATGGCAACCGCGTCAGAGCTTGCACAAGTGGTTGGCCTGGGAGAGAATCTAGATCCTGGGGCTTCAGGCTGCGAATGAATCTTTTTGTCAACCATTTTAGGGCTGTACTTTCCAGAACGGAATTATGAGTTTAGCTAGATTTACAGATGCGCGTTGCTACATAGCACATCCCGTTTACTGCCTTTTACTTCTACATGTACCCCTCAACGAATAGTCTCACGTACCAATGGCCTCAAAGCGATGCGCGCATTATCGCAAGATTTCTTCCTCGTACCATCAATTTCCTCATATCTTGCAGCAACATGTGAACATGATGGTGCATACGTATAACGAGGTTGATGTTCCTTGACCCGGACCCGACCTGTCGGTCTTAAACCATAAGGCTCTTCAATCGGTTACATACGGATACGAGCATCTTTCGGCTTTTAAGTTTTTGGGTTGGAGTGTAGGAGGGGTCTGAATTTGCTCGAGGATGTGCTGGGGGAGGAGATGCTTGGCAGCAAACACGTAGCCCTGAGCCTCGTGCAAGTAGATATGAGCGGTTCTGCGTGGTGTCTGCTACAACAACGGCTTTGGCCTGCCCTGACGGCCCTAACGGCCCTAATCAAGTCAAGCTCTGTGACGACACTGCACCGTCAAGGCACTACCTAGCAGGGGATTTGAAAAATATTTTTCATTTTGTTCTCACCGGCTCAGGGACTCGTCTTGTGCAGCACGTTTGGTCGCAGAAGGCCTGCGGCTGACTTGTGAAGGATGGCAGATGGCACTGGCAAAACTTGTCCTGAGGCATCCTCCCTGATCCTGATTTTTTTTGTGCCAAGGATCCACACCCTTGTCTGTCCGTGTAGGCTCGCCATGGCTCTCCCCACAATCAGTTTGGAAAGTGGAGCGACATGCCAATCAAGGCAAAGGAAACCAATGCAAGGCTTCAGCGAGGCAATTTCATGTTACTACCCCAGACTGCCCCTGTTTCTTTGCGTCATATCATCTTCTGCAGAATGTGCTCTATATCAGTCTATATCCATCTATCCATCTATCTATCTATCTATATTGTGAATGCATGTGCGCGCCGCCTCGGCAGTCGGGCCAGCCCAACACGGGGTGTAGCGCGCGCATCGCAGACGAAGCAAAGCCAATGTCATACGTCGCTTGGTTCAGCGCCACACACATCACGACTTCCGAGGTAGGGGGGCTTCAGGAGGTTTAGGATGGCCCAGGAAGTCGCACAGGAGCCAGGGAGGGTCCCAACAAGGGCATGGGACAGGTCCTACAGGGAGCGGGCAAATTTTTGGCTTGGGGGAAAGGTTGGAAGTGGGCAGGCCCGCGCAAAGCATACAAACCAGAAGAGACCAACACCCCATGTGCCAGCGCCAACCCTTCACGGGCCTTCCTCGTGCGTGGGGCGGAAGAAGTCTCAGTAGGCATGGGTCTCATATAGGGCGTTATGAACGCTTGTCGAATCCTTACCAAACCCTCAGCCCTGAACCCCACGAGTCTCTGCAAAGCTGTGCTTGGCTTTGCTCTCCAGGCCAAGCCTCGATTTTCAGCACTTGGGACTCGCCGGGGACCAACGATCCTGTGCCGCGGAGGCGTTTGTGCCGGAGCGGTTTAGGGCCTGAGGGTTATTTCGGAAGTGTTTTTCAATCGGGCAGCCCATTGGCACGCATTTAAGTTTTATGGTACGGGTTTTGGTACACTAGCGCAACCAGATCCCGCCATCCTGCTTGCTGGGCGTGAACTCAGGAGTTTGTGTTTATGTAAGTGGCCAGCGAGAATGTGGATTCCGACTTATGATGCTAAGGGTGTGAATGATGCTGACACATGCGTCGCAGTTGATGGCACCACGACACCTATAGACTCCTTCATGCTGCAGCTGCTCAACCTCGAAGCAGTTCAAAGGAGAAGCGCCGCTTCTTCGAGCAGATTCGGACGCTGGACAGGAATTATCCAGGCAACAGGGGTCCGGGAGTAGGGTCGGGGTGTCTCTCTGCAGGTCAGAGGACGTGGAATAGTTTGGGACTGGCAGGTGGCAGAATTAAGGTTGAATCAACTGTGACTGAACTGTAACGACAGGCATTGAAGAGTTTCCAACCCAAGGTTGTGCTGCAACCTTAGGCCTGCAATCTGCTACCCCGACAGCTGGAGCGATAGTCACGGCACTTGGCGGTGCGGGGAAGCCTGAGCCAAGTTTACTTGCCGTCGAACGAACCTGCTTGGATTGGAATTCGGAGTCCCCGGTGCGGGCTCGTCTTTGAATGAGCGCAAGCTTCCAAGAGTTCCAAAACTCCCACCACTCCCCGACTGTCCCCCCTGCGGATCAGCATTGTTTTCATTGCTTTTGAGTGCAGGTGGGCTTGGGAGCTATCTGCGGAATGCCCGGGCCCTGCTCCAGGCGTCTGGCAAACTAGGCATCAATGGTTAAGGCGAGGCTTTATTGGGGTTGTAGAGCTGGAGACTCAACTCTGAAGCTGTTATCCCTTCCAGTCCAGGCCCTTCCAGTCCAGGCCTTCCCAAGCTTTGTTTCGGCAGCTGCAGCACATCACCCTGCAGGCGTCAGCCAGTGGTGAAAATCCTTTGGACGGCTGGTCCCCCTCCGTACCGCAAGAGCTTTGTCGGCACCCAGGATGGGCGATTCAAGGATATTCGGGGTTGCTGAGACACTGAGGGTTCAGAGGGTCCTTGCGCTTTCCGAGCTCGGCACAACAAATATCAACAAATGGTGAGAAGTACGCGGGACTGCCCAAATCTCAATGACGCCCTCACGCAAGCGCTTCGATTTGCAAGTTTCAGAGCGAGTCGTTGGACTCGCTCAAGCTCCGAGGTCTGCAATGGTTCAGTTTGCATAGTGAAATCAGGCCTGGCACGCATGTCTTGATCCGCCAGTCTGGACCCATATTGGCTTGGCTTCAGGCTTCAGCTATAGAACTGCACAGTAGTGGCATTGAGAGCAACGCAGAGAAGCGTCCAGGACGGCTTCAAGCCGGAAGTGGGGTCCGAAGAGTTCTTTGCTTACGAGGAGCTCGGGGCACAAGAGGCCGGGCCTTGCAGAAAAAAAAAGGGTCCCGGAGTACTAGTAGGACTACTTTGCAGCGTATGCAGAGCACATCCATACTCACACGATGATTACGTCCATGTTGCCAGTGTGTGCGAATGGCCATGGCATCCATGCCCATACGATGACTACGTCCATGTTATACCGGTACTTGACAAACTTACCGCACTATTCGGGCGTATGCCCTAGATGCGCTCAGTGCGAATCATGTTGAACAGCTGCACGAGAAAGAGCCATGGTCGATTTTGTACAAAAATAGCACGAAATCATAGTGCAAAGCAAAGGGGGCCTTTCAACTGCTTTTGCTACAACCACCCTTAACCACGCGGTTGCTCAAGTCCTGTGCCTGCGAGCAAAATCGCCAAGGATTGAAAATTTTGGGATTTGGTAGGCGTCTTCGTAGCCTCATGCAGCCTCCCAAATTGGTTGGTTACGTGGAGTCGTGGGAGCGCGAAGAAGCTTTGATACGCCGACTCATGTCGGTTCCTCTTTAGTGTGGACCCCCCCCCCAGAACAGTCGAAGCTGTTTTTCGCCCAGTTTACACGGCCCACGGGTTTTATATGATGTTAACAGTTAACAGGGAGGCGATGCCCGGCAATTGTTTTTAAAGGCGTGACTCGTGGAGCTTTCTTGCCGCGCCCGGTCGATTAGACTTAATTCAGGATCCCACCGCGCAACCCCAAACAGTCAGGGTGTGCTGAGTAACGAGTCGGATAAAACAGGGCTGGTAGGAGGATCGGAAGTATTGTTGCGAACCTTCTGATGGTACGCAGGTTCCATGGTAGAATGCAGCAATGCCGTCTGCACATGCATGGTTCCGTGCTGCGTGTCAGTACCCCCTCATGCAAACCCTAAACCCCTAAACCCTAAAACTTGCAACCCTAAACAAACCCTCAAAACCCTACCAGAAAACATTGAACACCCCATGCACGCTGCATCCCAGCAAAGCAAGCAAGCCCACAAGACCGGTTGCTCCCAAAAGCCTTCATGAAGCCCTTTAACAAAACAAACCGCGCTCCCTTCGAGGTATCGAAATGTTGCTTCGTAATACCCGCCGGTGGCCTGGGCGAGCGGCTCGGGTTCAGCGGCGCCACGGGGTTGCATCAGCTGCAGCCACTGAGAAACCGTCTGTTAGTAGACCCTGATCCTGTTGTAATCCCTTTCGCGGAGCCCACGAGATTTCAGAAAGACCAGTTTGCCCTGTTCTTGAGACTAGCAATCGTGTTTTCTCCGAATGAATGGTCGGCGTATGGTAAAGACTGTGACATTGTGGGGTTGTCAAGTTCAGCCAAAATTCAACCCCTGAACTCAGCAAGGTTTTAACTCCTGAACCCATGAAAGCCCTCTCGGGCGGAAACTGACAGGTGAAGCTCGCTCTCCCTGCTGAGCTCATTTCCGGCAGCTGTGTCCTGGGAGTCTACTGTGCCTACCTCCTGGCCTTCCAGGCGTGGATGCCGGGCACTTTCCCTATGCTCCTATCCTTTCGTATCCTTTCATGTCCCTTCTATGTTCCTCTCTCCGGCCGCCTCTGTGTGCGTCGCTCCACTTGAAGAGGTGTGTGGAACTGTTTTGAGCCGGTGGCTCATAAACCTGGGATGAATCCCAGAAATTGACAGCATCAAACGCGTAGGAATTCGAGCCTAGCATGGCACACTTGTGTGTCACCCGCGTTGTTTTGGAAGGTGGCTTCAGTTGAGAGGTGCTTGAACAACCAAGTAGACCAATTCCAGCTTCAGCCAGTCCAGGAAGCTGCTATAGGCTGCTCACAGTCTGCGCGCCGCTCTGCCCTACCGATCTGCAGACCTTATAACGCCTCGCAACACCCACTCTGTTCACGGGCAACTCATGCATCAGGCTGAGTAGCCTCTCTCTCAGAGAGGACTTGAATTCAACAAAAACCCGGTGAGTCCTGTACGATACTTTTCAAGCACAAAATGATGTCTGGTGGAAACGGAAGGGACGTCGCCCGCTACGCCTTCTCTTTACCCAAGCGTGTGTTAGTCTTTGAATTGCGAGTCAATGAAGCTTGTTTTTGATGCTCAGCTTCTGTTTTCTTAGGAGCTCTCAGAGTCATCGACGCAACAGCGGTGCCGCCTGCCTCTGGCAACTTGGAGCAATCACGCTGGTTTGCGGCAGGCATTGTTCTTTTGTGGTCTGGATGAACTTGCTGGTCCAAAGTCCTGTATGAACTTGAGCTTCCTAAATCAGGGTCAGGAAGACAGCACTGGGTTTCATTGTCTGGCATTTGGAGCTTGGCTTGTTTTGTTCATGTGTGGGTGCCTTTGCACTGATGGCATGTCCGTGCTTTAACTCGGATGGCAGGACACATCTCTTGTGGTTCTGATGCCCAGGGCGGCAAACAGGTTGTCTTCAGGCGAAGTATGGCGAAGTTTGGCGAAGTTCAGGTCTTGCGCCAGGCTAGCCCATCAATTGAAAATGCCCTTAAAATGGTGGCTTCCGAAATTGCGGCATAAGGGAATCCTGCTATTTGGGTTCTATTTTTTGGTCCCCTATTTTCGTAAATCCCCAATGTGGCGTAAAATGAAATTTCACAGGTCATCATGGCCAGTGCGGACACGGATGCTGGCATTCGAGAGCTCCTGTCAAGCGTCCCAGCTCGCAATTCTTCGATCCATGTATGTCTTCCACAACATTGGATACTTTGTTGCAGTACATGCGCATGTGTTCTTCGGAGTGGTGCCTTCTAAGAATCTGCGAGAAACTGCAGAGGCAACAGCTATTTCGGCTTGGATGAGGATCAAGTGACGATCCTGGTGCAGGAGACTCAGAAGGCCTTAATACTTAAGGTTCGAAGAAAGGGAGGTGCAGGTCCAGGCATCGAGGCTTGGGGCCTACCTCTCCCCCCTCCCCCCTTAAACCCCAGAAAAGCTAGCAATCATTATTTCCCCTGCCGTTCGTTCGAGCAGGTGGCTATAAGTAATGCTTTGCCGCAGGTTTCTGTCACGTTGCCATTGCCGGAGACAGGTTGCCTGAACAATTCCGTGGTTCTGTGGGGGTGTGCATAGGGATAAACTGGGAGGGATTCTTTGAGGGTGGCGCTCCTGGGCTACTCGGCGTCATTTCTTTTTGCGTGATGCTCGGGAGGGGGGTTGGGGGGTGGGCGCTCCAGGTACTCGGCGGGACTTTCTGCGGGGTTCTGCTGTAGGGGCAGTCCAAGGATGCTGGGCGGGACTGTGGGAATCCCCATCCTCCGTGGGCACTCCAGGGATATGTGCTCCGTGGATGTTCGGACTCTCTGAGGGATTGGACTCTCTGAGGGATTGTCAGGGGGCGAGCAATCCGGGGTGGGCAATGCAGGATTACTTTTCCAGGACTCTCTGCGAGGTTCTCGGCCGCGACGCTTTGTGGGTTTAGTTGGGTGTGGGCACTCCAGCAACCTAGGAGACGGGCAAGGAGTGGGTGAGGAGAATGGTGCACTGAAAATCTAAGAACTCCAATGAAGCCGTTGAAGCCGCCAGAGGAGAAAGTGGCAGCCCTTGCGAACAGCGATGCGCTCCTGAGCATGGCGGGGCCGTACAAGGTGGGCATTGGAGGAGTTGATCAGCGAAGTACAGCCGGGTGCTTGAGCGTTGCACTTGACACCTTTTTGCCCTCAAGCCCTGTAGGAAACCAAACAGTACCAAACAGCCAAACAGCAAAGAGCCCTCAAAGTTTTCAAGCCGCCAACTGAATACTGAAGCAATCCATGACCCACGACCACAGCCCACGGCCGCAGGTGGCAACAAAACCCCACGGCCATGGCGACGTGCACTTTCTGCTCCATTCTGCCGGGCTCCGCGCCAAGCATAAGTAGGCGGACTTGAAGGCCACGCTTTAACGCGCTTTGTGACGGTTTTCGATTTAGTTGGCGTTTTGGCAAGAGCAACTCTCCTGTCTTTCCTCTTTCTGACTCTCTGTTGCTATATCGGCAGAAGCACGTGAACATACATGAACACGTTTGTTCCCCGAGCCCGACAGCCTCAGAGGGAACAAATGAAGCGTTGGAGGAGCCGCTACTCTCAGGGCTTTGATGTACCGGTGTAGGGTTACGGAAAGCCCACACGCACCTCAGTACTACAAGAGCCCGTTAAATAAACACATCAAAATGACACAAAGACCTGACATCTACGCCTTGGAACCTTGAACCCTGATGAGACGTCTGGGTTAAGGTTCTGGGCAGTCCGTGGTTAAACCGGGATGTAGTGGATGCAATCGGTCTATAAATTGGGTTTTAGCATGGTTCTTACGGTCCAGGGTCGGGAGGTTTGGACTGCGGACTGGGCCTCAGTGTACCAATTGCAGATTGCAACCGGAATGATAATACCAGCCTCAGTGGAGCCCTAAGCGAGCCTAAGCTCTGACAAACGCCTAGGCTTGTGGAAAGGTGGATGGGCGAGGGCCGAAAGTGGGTGCTGTTCTTCCAGGACGCCTCAAGGTGGAGGGATGATGAAGGTTGCAAATTCCAGAACCCCGACTCCGAATCGGAGGACACCAACACGCTGTACCTGACCACCTTTCTTTGCTCCTTGGGGGTCTCTGTGCGGCACGGGCTCGAGGCCAGTAAGCCTAGCAACTCGACAGCTGCCGGTTGACATTTGAGGGAGTGGGTTATGCTTGCAGAATTGACCTGACAGAATCCCTGCCTTAATAAGTAAGTCGAACATCATGTCTATACCCCCCTTCTGCTGGGTGGCTACGTCATCTCTTCTTCTGGGAGTCAAGGTTTGAAGGTTTTGGCAACTCCCAGTCCCTGAAGGTCAAATTCTCAAGCCTCAAGGCTACTGCAGGCTTCGTACATCTTTGTACCCCTTTTCGAACCCTCAACTCCACAACAAGCTCCAGCATGCTTCAGCCCACCTTACACGGAAGCCCTAAGCCCAGATGTCTCTTTGACAAATACGAGTATACGAGGCCTTAGATTCTTGAAATCTGGCTGAGGATATTTGAGGATAGTAGGGGGGTTGGTTTTGGAGAGAGGGTTCCTCTGCGCACTTCAAGGCAATGTCCTCTCTTTTTTGCCCCACACATGATTGGATTGATTGGTGCAAGTCTACGGCTGTTTCAAAGTCCAGGCCGGCCAGCCTTGTGTGAGGACCCAGTGCACCCAACGCATCACGAAAATGCAGGAGAGAATCCACAGAAGAACTTTGCAGCTCCCTTGGCACATGCGAACCCAAAAGCCCGGCAAGCGCTTGAAAGCTCTAAATTGCAGCTGTCCGAACTGTCGAGCCAGTCACGGCATGCACCCATGGGCCCGGAAATTCCGCAAAAGCCTCCAAATGGCTACAGACATAAGTTATGACGGTTTGTTTCTGATCCTGGGGTTTCAGAAGCCGCAGGTGAATTCAGTGGCTATGCCTCGCAAGGCCAAAGAAGCCGTGGGGTCCATCGCTCGTGCCGCACTGACAACTGAGGGTCGTATTGAGGTTTGAGAAGAGCTCTTGGAGGCTTTTTGTGTTTGGGTGAATGCTGAACCCATCTGAACCCACTCGAAAACCCTAGACATCCCTAGACCATGACTGCTTAGGTTGACAGAATCAGGGTTTGTGAGGGTTTTGAGTTCATAGTGCAATTAGGGCTGTAGCAAGCTTACGGGTATTGCCTTTCATGTTACATCTCAGCTGGAAAAAGGGTCTGTAGGATTTGGGTCAAGGTCTGCAGTTCACCGCCCAGGCCTCTCCCACCAAGATGGCCGCAGCATCTGTGTGAACGTCGAGTACAACCAGCTCGTCGGGAAGCCCAGAGGGTTTTGCCGCTTTGCCTGCAGGGATTGCGAATCGTGAGTGTTCGCGGTGCGAGGGCAAAGTTGCCTTAGCGAAGCTCTCAGCTTGAAGTTGTGTAGGTCCTAGCTGCCATGTGCGAGAGGATACTAGAGCCTGCCAAAATTCAGTAGCTCGGAACTCCTTGACGACTCAAGACACAGACGAGCAGCAGTCCCCTTGCGACGTGGACGCAGCCTTTGACGCCTCCTTGGAGAAGTCAAGTGCTTCTCAGAGTTCGGCACACCGGACATGGCTACACCTCTCTCACGCGACTCATGCTCAGGCCATGGTCCTCAACACGCAGTGATCAAACGGCACTGCAGACGAGGTTGGCAAAGCAGGCGCGGAAGCTCACGGCAAGGTTTTTGGACGTCGACAAGGTCCTAGCCTGTCCTAGCCTCCTATAGCTTCTTCCTCGTCGTCACCAATGTGAGGGATGTGGTTTGATGTGTGGTTTGTCACATTTTGTCACCAGCTGTGAGCTCGGAGGCCCGTTGCCGAGCCATGCCCTAGTCAGAGCGGAGTAGAAGAGCAGGGAATTCCCTCAATACCCGCCTTGTCTGACAGTTGCTCCGATGTACAAGCCGAGGGGTCTGCAGAAGCGCAACTGATCTTGAGTTGTCGAGAGACTCTTAAGGATGAGGCTGGCAGCTCGGGGTTTTCTCGGGCCCCGCCCACAAGTTCTAGGAGACATTTTGGAGCTGCACGGAGCAGCACTGCTTCGATATCCGATGCGATATCTTGGAGAGAGTGGAATTTGCGCAGACTGGGCGAGCAATCGCCGCATGGCACCAACGCCCGGACAAAGCCCTTTTTGTGTTGAAGGACTATCCTTTTAGGACGCCAGCATGGAGGACGAAAGCTTTCACGGCTCGGAGAATCGGACTTCCCAATCTGGTTCTTCAAAATTTGAAGGTTGCCGATGTTATCGCGAGACAAGCTGTTGTCTACATGGCGCACCATGTCCGAAGTAACCACAGAGAAGATGGAACGAAGGGAAGATGTTCAAGGGCAACGTCAAGGCAACGGCGAAGGCAGCTGCCAGGAAGTTCAATTGAGTTGCCCGAGCCTGCAGGTGGCAAACAGACGCGACCGTTCTTCGCAAAATGGAAAAACTGTGTGATGGCTTTGCAGAGCGACATCATGGACATCATCAAAAACATATGTACACGGATCCAGGACTAAGTTAGTGTTATTCCCTAAGCCCGATATATGTTTGAGCTGTGTAGAAGTGTCCGTGCAGATCTTGACTGATTGAATTTGCAACTGCAAGACTTGCTCAAGGCAATACGAGCGTCGAGTACAATCTGCTGGATTGTGATAACATATATTATTCGTTTAAGCATGTTGAGTGGATCCAAAATGTCCATGCGGCTCAGCCTTTGGAGTGGTGCCGAAAGGGGTTCCCAAGTTTCCCCGAACGCCGAACTGCCTTAGCGCCTTCTAGATACCCCCGAGAACCCTGTGCGCTTTGTGGCCAAAAAATTGGGAAGTGCAGGAGCCTCTCCTCAAGGCTAACGGCTACGCGGAGGGAGACGTCAATGGTACCGATGGATTCTCCCCCTTCCCGGGCAACACCAACGAGTGGCTCGGCAAGTCGCCATAAGACCTTTGTCCGGGGGCTGATGTTTGCTGGCTTGTTTGCTGGCTACAGTTGTCTCAAAGCGCCCCCTTGCCCACCTTAGAGGAGAAGTAGCCAGAGGAAGCATTAGCGGTCACTTTCCCGATCACCCAAAGCCCTTTTCGAGGTAGGCCCCGGGGATACTTTGCATTTGTACTTTCACACAGTTGTGTTTAAGAGGGTTTTTCTTTGGAGTATGATTTCAGAGCCATTCAAGGGTCAACCTAGCTTTCATAGCAGCTCACGGCCGTAATCTGGAATGACTGCCCAATCGACGGATCTCTGGTTTTCTGGGACAGAAGCATCGAGGTCTGTACACATTGGTACATATCTCCTTTCGGAACACAAAAGACCGCGCCTTTTTTAAATTGACATGGGTTACAAGACGGATGCAAAATTGAGACAAAGGCTGATCTTCTCTCTCCCGGAGTATGCGGCACAGCTCGCGAAGAAGGGCGGTCAGATGCCCGAGTTCATCAATCCGCGGCCTGGCATCTTTAACTTAACTTGGAGACTTCTGTTAAGAAGCCCCCCCCCCCACCACTATCTAGCAGCGGCCTACGGTTACAGGCGCGGCCTACTTTTAAGCCTACTGACACCCCTCAGTTGCCTTGGAGTCGGAGTTATTTAAAGTGTCCACCCCATGGTGGCCCTGTGCAGTACATATGTGTAGAACTGTAGAAACTGTAGAATCTCCATAGCGGATCTGGGGTAGGGCTCCATGGTGGCTGCGCGTATGTTTCCATGAGGCCATGGGGCCACAGAGTGGCTTTCCAGCCCCATAGGTTTGCGTGTTTTGGGACTTGGCCATGTACATCCCTTATTCCAATTGCAACGCCAGCACGCCACCATGAAACTCGTATGTTTTGAAGTGCTGCAACATGGATTTCGGCCGCCAGACTCATGTCCGAAATGCCATGCAAGCACGGGGACGCCAGCTTTCATTATTTATCTTCACGAATCGAAATCCAACTTCAACACCAAGCCGCTACAGAGCCTCAGAAGCTGAAAGTTGTAACTTGGAGCGATAGTTGTTACTTACTCGATGAATAGAAAGAGTGGGGAGACGACGGCACAACGTCAAGATGGGAAGAAGACGAGACACTTCAGGCGTAGCGGCGTGGTGGCTCTCCTCATGAGCAACCCACCTTCACCTCTGAACACTTCTACCTGTCAACGTTGACGCAACTTTTCGTGAAGGGCCTCAGAAAGGAAATCTATTAAGCACTTGACTCCGCACCGTTGTCAGAACATTGATTCTCGACTCTATTGTAACCCTACACCTTCGTAGCTGGTCAGCCCTAGGCCTTCTTGAGGCTTGTTGTGCGTCTCTCAACGTCTCCCTTCTAAAACACCTTACTCTCCTCACATATACACTACAACTCCAACTCTTGCATCGAGGTCTGCCTGGCTGCCAACCACGTAGCTGACGACAGCCACCCTTCCAGCCCCCCTCCCCTTCCTCAATTCCAAGGAAGTATGCGGATGCGACACGAAGAAGCTTCAAGAGCCCAACCCGCTTGGAGTGTTCCCAGCTTGAGCTTCGGGCAGTTTGTGATTGTGGGATTTGTGGGCGAACATGCAGTGCTCTGTCTGAGGCTTCGGGCTTCAAGAGTGGGAGAGTCGCCTGCAATGCAAGCCCTCAATACACTGTGGTCCTCAATGCACTGTGCCTTTTGCGAAGCCCTCCCTGGGCCAAGTCCGAGGCGTTTCTTGCTCATTCTTTCACATGTTCGCCAATGTTCGCACAGGGTTTTTCGGGCTGGAGGCCGAGGCTTTCACTTATACAGATAGCATCTGAAAGGCCCGGGCCAGAACCTCAGCCACCACACTGAACCTGTCAAGCCCAGTCAAGCCCCTTCCCTTTCCCTTGTCAGGGTTTAGGGATGTTTAGGGCGTTTAGGGTTTTGGGGTTCGGGCTCCGGAGAAGAAGTGAACAAAGTTGATCAGCGGTCCTCTCGCTGCGATAGAGCCCGCGTGTCCCATAGTCTGCGTGGGTGAATCCTTCCCAACCCCTGGAAATCCCTGGAATTCGAAAAGAGGCTACTGGGAGGGAAAAAAGAGAGGAAACCGTCGAGTGCAGCCTCAGGCATGATGCAGGACTATCCGAAGCTCTTGCCGCCCGAGTCCAAAGCCCCTGCCTCGGGCCTGGGCCAGGTTTCTGGGATTGGTCAAGTGCTGAATGTAGGTCCGTTCGTTGGTTCATACCATTAAGATGAAACCTTTTTCCACTTTCACAACACCGTTGGCCCGAGCCGGGTCCCCGAGTCTAGCAGGAATCCAGGTCTGAAGTTTTCAAAAAATCTGTTGAGGCTGAGTTGCACCTTGGCCTTCTAGCAGCCTGTGGGCCCTAATTTGGATCTCAGCCCGCCGTGGCTTGCCGGCTTAGAGCTTCTTGAAGCCTTCCCACCCACTAATAATTGGCATGAAGCCTGCAGCGTTCTAAACGGCATCCCAACATTCCTGAAGCGCTTGGTCGCTTGGTTCTTCAATTTAAGCTTGAAACCTGAAAACAGCCGTTGGAATGCCAGAACACCAGGTGGGCTTCACGCGGTATCCTCTGGATTTCGGCTACTTCCCCTGCAAGACTCTTTCCTCAAGCAGCCTTTGTGTAGATTTGCAGACTGGTTTTTCTCGCTGCTTGTTGCAGAAAAGTCGAGTAACCGTCTGCTTCATTCAGAGCTTTAATAACTTTAGTAACAGTCTGAAGCCTCAATACTTGTAATCCTGCAATATAACTCTGGCCCCAAACCTTCGAGAAAACGGCTCGGAGTTGACAGTGCGGCAGGCTCCGGAACAAGAATTCGAGCCGCAATAAGAAACCCCATGTGAAGCCAATGTCTGGACTTGGCAAGGACACGGAAATCATTAGGTTTTTTGTGCTTTACTTGGGCGGCGGCGATGTGGGAGTTTGAGAACCACTGGCCCCCACGATTGTAGGCTCGGAATGGGGTATTGATGCGTCGTGGTGTGAAAAACTATTCGAAACTATTTTCTCAGAAAAAAAACCTATTGGGATCCATGTTATCC